GTGTAGGGAGGCCAAACGGCACCACACCTCAGGCCTGGAGGCCTGCAGAGTTCAGAGAAACCAGGGCAGCCAGGCAGCCAGGCAGCCTGGCCCGGAGAGGGGCCCAGGGCCACGGCATCCCTCACACACGCCCACCGCGCCGAGGAAGGGGGTGCCGCGGAGCGCCAGGGCCCGGCCACGCACCTTTGTACTGCGGGGTGAACCTCTTCATGGCCAGCGGCAGGGACTCGTAGAACCTCTGCTCCCGCGAGATGAGGGGCTTGCACACCGTGTGCTCGTCGTACTTCATCACGCTCAGGTGCCCCCCGACCTGGTGCAGGAAGGGCTCCAGGAGCACGCCCACCCCTGCGTCTCTGGCGTCCACGTTGTCCTGAACCACCATGGCGCCACACGGGGTGGGCGACTCGCCTGTAAATCGGTGAGAGGGAAGCGTGAGGCAGAGGGGCAGCTCCTGGATGGACGCAGGCCTGTCAGCGGGCCTCAGCTCTGCCCTCCCTGCCCCTTGTCACTGTCATAGCATGGCCGTCCTCCTGTCCGTGGGCTCTCAGCGGGGCCTCCTGGGAAGCAAAGGAGGAAGGTGGGATTACATGAGGGAGGTGGTGCGCTGGGAGGCTGCCCAGGACAGGCATCGATTACTTCTGGAATAATCTATGACAAGAAACTGCAAACAGTGGTTGCCTCCACGGAGCGGGGGTGAGGGGAGAGGGTAAATGTTTTAGACCTTTTGAATTTAAATATTAAAACGTTTTTAAAAATCAAACACAACGGTAAGTTTCGAGGGTACAGAGGCTGTGGCTTAACTTGTGAGGTTGCTCGCCTTCCTCTGGGGCATTGACCCCAGGCCCAGGAAGAAGCCCAGAGGTTCAGTAAGCCCTGTACGTGCGCTCGGCTAGCGTGGGGAGGGCAGGGGCTTGAACCCAGGCACGGTAGCCCCAGATGGCTCCTGCCATCTTGCAGGGAGGCTGAGGATGGTTGTGTGTCTACAGTAAATGTCAGGAACTTGCGCCCCAAGGAAGCCGGGACTTGGCCAGAGTCACCTGCATGCCAGGACAGACTTTCTTGTCCCCCCCGGCCTGCTCCCCCCCACACCTGGTGGCATTAAGTGCATGCACTGGTGGAGGCTGGCCGGAGTGTCACTTTCCCTCTGCAGAAATTGTCTAGAGGGCTCAGGCAGGACACCCAGCTAGAGTGGGGGCTTGGTGTCGACTTTCTCTGGGGCTCTCTGCTGGGCTTGTCTGCCAGACCCAGGAGGCTGGGTCCTGATGTCCCCCCCACCCCGCCGCTCCGACATCAGGCGTTCCCAGGAGCCTGGCTCGACCGCAGAGAGCAGAGTAAGCCCGTAGCCCTGGGCCTCAACCACAGCCCACGGCCAGCAACACGGACTTCTCCCATGGACTAGGGGCAGGTGGCACAGTGTGGCCTCAGGGGTAACCAGAATACACTTCTGAAAAGAGCTGACTTGACAGTGGGAGAACCAGGCCTTTTCTCAAAGGGTCACCTTAGAGTGTGGGTTAGGAGATGCTTGAGGGCCCCTCACCCCAGGCCGTGTGGTCCCCGTTTCTGACCTGACTGGTGGGGAGGGGCAGAGGGAGGCGGGAAGGCAGCAGCTTCAGCCCTGGAGCGAGCCTGAGCCGCCCCTGGAGCGGGTCTCCCCTGGCTTGGCCACTGCTCGGGGAGGTGGTCTGGGGCTTGCCCTCGGCCTGACGCTCAGTTCCCAAGGAAGCTGGCGGTTTTCTGCCCGTTTCTGCCTTCGTGTGCAGCTTCCAGCTCTGAGGGACTGAGCGAGCGACGCCTCTGTCCTTCCATCCCTCCTGTGGGAGTCCCCGATAAACAATCCTAGCCGAGATGCCCTTCCGCAGCCCAGTCCTTCCTTTGTGACACACAGACACTCCTGTCATCGGCATGAGCCTCAGCCTTTGGTCGGTGCCCCGGGGCCTGTCCTGTCCGAGGAGCACCGTGTGAGGAGTCGAGCCCTCAGCGTTCCTGCCTGTGTGCTGAGGCCCCAGAGTAGCCTGGGGGACCGCCCACTGCCACCGTGTGTCATGATGCTCCGAGGACACAGCGCACAGGGTTCCTTTACGGAGTCCAAGGGTCCCCGCCGTGTGCGGGTTGTCACTGCCTGGGTTACTCTCAGGACAGCTCCTATGAGTCAGCCCGAGTCTGGAAGGCAGGTGAAGCCCCTGCCTGAGACAGGCCTCCCGCCCCCATTCTGACACACTTGCTGAATTCCCTGGGCTCCCGTTAGTGCTTTGAAGGGACACAAATGTCCCTGTCTCCAGCCCACGCCTCTTGTCACAGCCTCACAGCCCAGACCCCTGGCCCGGCCCAGTAGCCTTCCCTAGGGTTCCTTGGAGAGGCACAGAGGGAGGGAAGGGTGAGATGCCCCCAGCCAGAAGAGCTCAGTCTAAAGGCTGCCCCACCCCTGCCAGGAAGGGGACAGATGGCCCCAGGTCCCCGTGTCCTCCTGCCCTGTCATTGGGTCATGTCCTGAGTGCAATAACTCTGGGCCTTGTTCCAGAGGTCTGCCGATGGTCCCGGCCCTCGAACTGGTGCTGACTGAGGCCCTGGGCTGTCTGTGTCAGGGCCACCCTGCTCTGCAGCCCTGCAGGGCCCGAGTGACAGCCGGCCTGCCGCTGGGCTGCCAGACACTCCCTGCTCTGAGCTTGGCTGTCTTTGCCTTCCAGAGTGGGGACAGATGATAATACCAGTGGTTCTAAGACCCTAAGACCTCACTGGTGCCAGACACGGCGACAGGTGCCACCCATCGAGCCGCAGCGGATGAGAGCGTCGCGGGGTGTCAGCACCAGCCCACGCGCTTTGCTTCTGAGAGCCTTTGCATGGGCCACGTCTGCCGCACGCCACGTCTGAGCTCACGGCGCATCACGGAAGCTACACCTCTTTTTAGAGCTTGCCATTCCCATTTTGGGGAAGACAGCAGATGAGACCGCAAATGCAGCTTGTAAAGGTTCAAGCGGGGAAGAAATTCGTCATGGCTTATATCCGATCCAAGTCTGCTGGGGCCTTACAGCTGGAAGCCAAGCAACTGACCGGCCGCCGTCAGGGCTGTTTCCAGGTACTCTGCTTTCCCGTGGGGACGCGGTGCGGCCACGGTTTGAAGGCACCTGTGGTCACACCGTTTGCTTCCGCCATAACATGAGTGACAATGACATGTGTCACTTCCGCGCGGATGCTTTCAGAGCCGTTCCCACACTCTCCCTGGCCGTAGGACTCTGAGAAGCCAGTGTGGGGATGGAGCCTCTGTCAGCCTGGGTCCCTGAGTGATGGGAAATGCTGGATATGCAGCAAGACAGAAGTCAGTCCCTGCCTCGGCGAGCCACGAAGGTCTGGGGGTGGTTCTCAGGCAGCACGACCTGGCCTGTCCTGACCAGTTCGCCATCTCAAAGCTGAGGAGCCAGTGTGGAGCTTCTGGAAGTGACTCCGCTTGAGTCAGACACTCGTACTTCAGTGCACAGATAGGTCCTATGTCACAGCCGCTCCTGTTAAACGTGACTGTGGCCACTGGTTTAAAACCAGCTCTTGGTCTCAGGATAATTACTTCTAGGGACCAGTAGGTGGCATAATGGTTATGTTGCTGGACTCCCACATAGTTGACTATGGTTCGAATCCTGGACCCGGCAGCCTATACTCACGCTGGGTGCATGTGCATGTGTGCCCAAGATCCCGAGAGGAGATTGGAGGAGAAGAGATTGTGGCGTGGCCATCCCCCCTGGGGGGTGATTTCTCACTTTCTGTCTCTCTCTGTCTCTCTGGCAAGTGCACAAGCCCGGTAGCAAAAATCTCTCTCAAAAAAAAAAAATATTTTTAGATGGAGAAACTCAGGCTTAACTCAGTTCTGGACAAACCACCAGGGTCCAGAACTAGCACACACTGGACCCGGGGTTTAGTCGCAGGGAGTCTGTCTCATTGGAAGTCGATGCCCACTCCACCCCACCGTGCAGCCCCCCCTCCCCCCCTTACAGGAGTTCGTGCCAAGACACAGTGGCTCTTCCTTGGACTCCTGGGGCCCGTGTCAGGCTCTTTGGGCCACCATCCTGTCCAAGGCGCTCTCTACCCGGCGTGCCTCGGTGTCCTTGGTGAGGGATGGAAGCCTTCGAGGAGCAGCAAACACCCCCTCTCCGGGCCCAGCACGCTGCTGGTGGGCAAGGCAGATTCCCAGGGCCGTGGGCGAGGGGCTTCCGCCTGTGGGAGACCTTCCCCAAACCCATGGCACCCACAGTGCTGTCCACACACTAGAAAGGTAGCACCTAAGACGCACGACCATTCCTCAAACGCTTTGGTGATTACCGACATACAGATCCATTCAAAGGCATTCTTGAATTCCTCTTAGCTTTTGTCAACATCTATTTTCTCAATTAACAAGGACTAAAAGTGTAATGAGTGTTGCATGGAGACGGTGGGGGAAACGGTGTTGAAGAGCCGAGGAGAGAGACTGCTCAGCTGAGACGACTGCTCAGCTGAGACGGGGCTTGGTTCCGGTGCTCTAGGAAGGGGTCTGGGAGGAGGGCAGGTGTGGGCTCAGCCTCGGGGACATCGGGGACATCGGCAAGGACAGGGCAGGAGGCGGTGAGGAGGCGAGGTTGTGTGGATGAGGGAGGAGCGAGGTGCTGGGTGGCCAGGGCCTCACAGCCAGCCGGGGTGTGCCTACTGGAGCCCCGGCTCAGCCGGGGAGGAGTGGCCCCCCGAGATCACTGAGGAGAAGAAAATTAAGAAACAGCTTGTGGCAAAAGAAGACGGGGTGTACCAGGCGGCAGGCGGCGCGATTCAGAAGCGGCATGGTTTATGGCCTGCCCTCTCGGCCCCAAGTTCTAACGGGCGTTTCACAGGCCTCTCGGAGCCCGAGGTTTGGCACAAGTACCCTTCAATGTCGCTGCGATGCCCAGGGGAGCATTTTTTAATCTATTAGAGATGAGAGGGCCCGAAAACCATTTAAAACCGCTTAGGTCGTAATGGGCAGGAGCGTTTTGTTCCTGACACGGCTGAGGCTTGCCATCAATCGGCCCCCATCCAGGCTCCGATGGCAGGAGCTTATTTCCTGGAGGTGGACAGGGTGGGGAGGATAGAGTTTTAAAATCCATTCTAACCCTGACTCACGGGCTGTAGGACAGTGTGTCCTCTGTCCGTGTCACTCCCCGGCTGCACAGGATCGCTCCTGAGCTCAGGGGGACTTCACACGTCACCTTCCCGGCCGTGGCTGAAGTATGTGGCTTCGGAGAGCATCCGTTTCCCGGGGAAGGCTTGATTTCCAGAATCAGAGAGCAATACTTCACACTCCTCAGTCACAGAGACCTGTCTCGGGCTGATTTTATCTTTCGAGAGGGGCTTCTCTCTCTCTCTCTCCTTTTCTCTTAACATTTAAAATCTCCCAACGTTTTCCCAGCTCGAGGACCAAATACGGTTTTAATACAGTGACGATTACTTTAGAAGCACTTCAGCCGCTGACAAATGTACTTGGCGGCGCCAGCACCCCTCCAATCTTGCCATCAGAGCGGGAGGAGCTCAGGGAAAAGACGGCTCAGGAAGCCGAGCGCCAGAGGGCCGCTCCGCGGGAGGAGCGCTTTCCTCCCCGTCCCTAGTAGGTCCTGACCTCTGGACAGCACCAGGGCCTTGGGTATGGGTGAGTGGCTGCTCCGTCTGCCCTCCAGGCTTGCATGCCTATCTCACCTCCTCAAGTTGCACCGAGGACCCTGGATATTGCTAAACACCCAGGCCTGCCTAGGCCGCCTCCCCAGGCCAACACCCCTCCCCACACCTGCCCACCTTCCTCTAAATAACACGATCAGCCTGCTTTCTCTTGTGCAAGAGGCTTCTGAGCTGGAGACCCATTTCATGGGTACAAGAGGGAACAGGTTTTTCAGGTCAAATCACAGTCGGGGGGAGGGTGCGCTGCATGTGTGTGTGTGTGGTGTGTGTGTTACGGTCCTTCACGCAGGAGGGCTGGCCGGCTGGAGTGCAGCTCTTGCGGGGACTCGAGTAGAGCTTTTCTCCAGCAGGGGGCAGCAGCAGACATGTGGA